CATTTTATTTATTTATTTATTTTAGAGAGAGAGCGTGTGTGAGCAGGGAGAGGGGCAGAGGGAGAGGGAGAGAGAGAATCTCAAGCCGACTCCACGCTGAGCACAGAGCCCCATGCAGGGCTCAATCCCACGACCCTGAAATCATGACCTGAGCCGAAATCAAGAGTCGGTCGCCCAGCCAACTGAGCCACCCAGGCGCCCCTGGCTTAAAGAAAAATATAAGTGAAGAATACTACAGGTGTACCTGTGTGTACCTCTGTATGACAAAACTTATGGAGGTGACATAGGAATGGGGAAACTGAGGGAGAGGCTTGGTGAAGACATGTAGGAGCTAGTGTGTATGCAACGTCGGGGGAGAGGTGGACAAGATGGTAATTTAATGAGGAAATGAGTGGGTGAGAGATTGGTGCCAGGGCAGAAGGAAGGCCAGGATGGTAGCAGGTCGGCTGGAGTGGCCTGTTGGAGGAGGGGCGGTCCCTACCGCGCAGGGCTTGAACTGTCTGTCTCCTTCCCGCGCAGCCATTGACCTCATCAACAACCTGCTGCAGGTGAAGATGCGCAAGCGCTACAGCGTGGACAAGTCTCTCAGCCACCCCTGGTTACAGGTGATGCAGGGGGCGGGGCTTGAGAGCAAAGGGGAGGGAGGTCTCATTGGCTGGGTTGGAGGAAGGGGTGGAGCCCGACGGCTTATTGGCTGTGTAGGTGGTGAAGGCTGCAGGTAAATTTTCCGTGGATCCGGAGAGTGGCTGAGCCTCCTATTGGCTGGGCTGTAGAAGGAGGCGGAGCTGAATTTCTATTGGCTGGGCAGGTTGCGAAGGGTGTGGTTTCCCCTTCATTGATCCCGGGCCTGTCACTGGCAGGGCAGGGGCTCAGCTCAGCCGCTATGGGTCGTGCTCTGTGCAAGCTAACCCCTGTTCTCCCGGGCCCAGGAGTACCAGACGTGGCTGGACCTCCGAGAGCTGGAGGGGAAGATGGGCGAGCGGTACATCACGCACGAGAGTGACGACGCGCGCTGGGAGCAGTTCGTGGCAGAGCACCCTCTGCCCGGGCCCGGGCTGCCCCCCGATGGGGACTTCGGTGGGGACTTCGGTGGGGCCCTCCCGCCGCAGGACCGCGAGATGCAGGGGCTGGCCGAGCGCATCAGCATCCTCTGAGGCGTCGTGCTCCCACCTTGGCTGCCCCATGATGCTGTCCTCTGGTCCCCGGAGAGCGCCCCTCTGCACCGTCTCAGCGAGGAACTGTTCTAAACAGAAGCGCTTCCTGCCCAAGATGGATGGGACACACCCCAGGAGAGGAGCAGGGCGGGGGCCCGTGGCGGGTCAGGGATAGTTATTTCCAACCTGAATTCCCCAGCAATTAAAACGAACTCATCTGTGGCCCCGTGGCCTTGGTCTCTGGCCACACCGCGCTCTCCATCATGACTCTGTTATTCACCAAGATGGAGTTCCCCTGGAAAGAGGGCTGTCTGAGAATGAGGCGGGAGGGAGGGGGGATGGGAGAGGTGGGAGAGAGGGGGCTGAAGGCGGAGGAGTTCTGGAAGGAGGACCAACTGGGGTGGGAAATCTGGAGGGAGGACTGCCAAGAGGGAGGACTAGAAGGGGGAAGATAGGAAGGGTAGCATAAGGAGGACAGGGAAGAGAAAAGCAAGAAGAGTTCGAGATGGAACGAGTATGCCAGGAAGGGAAGATAGATGGATGGAGGAGCATGACTAGAGGGATAGAGGGTTTAGAGCAAAGTAATCCCATGGCTTGTTTGATCCACTTTTTTGGTCAGTGGTATTACTACTAATCACAACTACTAATAACGACAATGCCATTAGCACAAGTCTGGTCCATAGTAGAAACCTGACCCACAATATTTAGTATTTTAAATTGATGCAATGACTTCTCTACACACCAAATGTGCTCATTCACTAATTCATTCGTCACGCTGGGTGCTGGGTGATGCTGGGGACACGGTGGTGACTGAGACAGCCCAGACCCTTCCCTCAGGGGGTTCACCATCCCGTGGAGAGGCAGATGGGGGGTGAGACTGGGATGGGGGAGTCCAGAAGGGTGGGGCAGCTTTGAGCGAGCCTGAGGGTCAGGAAGGTGGGTCTTCTGATCTGACTTCTCACACCTCATCTTGGCTCTGAGGTTGCAGGCCGAGGGAACATCTCTCCACCTTTGACCCCTGACCTCCAGATTCTCCAGCTCCTCATTGTCACAGCTGAGGGCAAGCGATTGGAGCATGCACCGAAACAAGCCCTTTCTAAACACTCAGACTTACACACCATAAAGACTTTCCTGAACCCTGGAAAAATGGGCTAGTACAGGGAGCTTACTCTCTGAGGCTTCCTGATGTATGTTAGCTAGCCCGTCTGCTGGTTGGCTCCGGAGCTACAGCTCTTTGATTTAAAGAAGCGCAGAGGGGCGCCTGGGTGGCTCAGTCGGTTAAGTGTCTGCCTTTGGCTCAGGTTGATCCTGGGATCGAGCCCCACTTCAGGCTCCTTGCTCAGCGGGGAGCCTACTTCTCCCTCTCCACCCCGCTCGTGCTCTCTGTCGCTACCTCTGTCTCTCTCAAATAAATAAAATCTTTAAAATAAAATAAAGAGGCTCAGATGAGCCTCAGTCAATGAGGATCTCCAAATGAACAAGAATGCCTTTGAGGCATAATTCGAGCTAATAATATTGGGAAATATTGGAGTCTCTTGGACTGCATCCTCAATGCCTCTCCCTCTAAAACTGACTGGCCTAATATCCAAGGGGGTAGACAACAGAGAGACAACTCCATCTCCAGTGATAGAACCAAGCTAAGAAGTGCATGGACCAGTCCCGCATCGGGTTCCCTGCTCGGCAGGGAGTCTGCTTCTCCCTCTGACCCTCCCCCCTCTCATGTGCTCTCTCTCTCTCTCATTCTCTGTCTCAAATAAATAAATAAAATCTTTAAAAAAAAAGAAGTGCATGGACCAAATACTCAGGTCCAATCCTGAATAAACACACTGCTTCTATCTTGACCACCAGTTTCGTTAACACCCTGAGACCAGGAATTAGAGATATGATCATAAACATAAACTTAGGGGCACCTGGCTGGCTCAATCGGAAGAACGGGCGACTCTTGATCTCTGGGTCGTGAGTTCGAGCCCCACGTTGGGTATAGAGATGACTTAAATGAATAAATAAATAAAAACTTAAAAGAAAAAAACCCACAGGGCACCTGGGTGGCTCAGTTGGTTAAGCGTCTGCCTTTGGGTCAGGATCCCAGGGTCCCCGGGATCAAGTGCCGCATAGGGCTCTTTGCTCAGCAGGGAGTCTGCTTCTCCCTCTGCACCTCCCCCACTCGCGCGAGCGCTCTCTCGAAAAAAAATAAAATAAAATAAACAAATAAAATCATAGGGGCGCCTGGGTGACTCAGTTGGTTAAGCAACTGCCTTCGGCTCAGGTCATGATCCCGGAGTCCCGGGATCGAGTCCCACGTCGGGCTCCCTGCTCGGCGGGGAGTCTGCTTCTCCCTCTGACCCTCCTCCCTCTCATGCTCTCTGTCTCTCATTCTCTCTCTCGCAAATAAATAAAATCTTTAAAAAAAAAAAAGAATATGGAGAAATTGGAACCTTCATATATAAAAAAAAATAAAAAAAAAATCATAAAAAAAAATCCATGATGTCAGATGGGAAAATACCTTGATTGCAGAATTCCATGAGGTAGTGCAACAACATGAGGATGCCATGGCAGATCAAATCAAAGCCACATAACGTCACTTAAGGCCCCACAACTTAAAACAATTAGAGGAGAAAAAGCCCATCCTATCAGGGCTACCGGATACCACCAACCCTGATCTTGACAGAGGCACAAACTTGTAGGGGGTAAAATTTCGTTTCTCCAAGGATTCCCTCCTGGCAGGCTTTCTCTGTGCCTATAAATACCCCTCAAGCCACAGGTGAAATGACTATCCCCATTAGTGGGTATCCTACCCCATTTTAGACACAGGGGCCACGCCCTCCCCATAAATATCTCCCAGTTCCCCCCTCCCCCTCCATCAGTACACAGCAATGATTAAGATGAATCCCGCAGTTTGCCACGTGTTTAGGCTTGTCTAAGTCCCTCTGTGACTCATTAGGCCCCCTTACTACCCAGTGCGGTTTATACCCAGACTACTCCAAGAAATCTTTCAGGAAGGGATATTCTTTCCATCTGGAACGTCAAGATTTCATGTTCACAAGAGAGCCTATGTCTCGAAGTCCCGGACTACTCCTATCCATCTCAGCCCGCTACCCCTCCTACTCCCCTGCCCCCTCCCCAAAAAACCCATCAACCTCTCCCTCAAGCCCACATATTCAAGACACGCTGCCCCGCATTCTGATTCTCTTTGGGCCTCAGCAACATAGGGTGCATCTTGGAGGCTGAACCTCTCTCCAAGTGGAAATAGAACCTTCATGCCCTTCCTGGAACTGACTTCACATGCCTCCACCAGTCACTCGGGGTCTCCCAATCCCGGCTCCCGGACCCTGCAGCACTCCCACCTTGTCCGTCTAGAACCCCAGTGTTACCACGGGAATATGGCTAGTCCAAGACCCGTAGGCCATAAATAAAATAGTCAAACCTAGGTTCCCGCGAGTTCCCACTCCAAACACTGTCCTGGCCTCTCTCTACCTTCCAGCACCCCCCGCTTTACTGGATTAACACCTCCTCTACACATTCCTTCATATCCCTCTGCGTCTGATTCACAGTCTTTTTGTTTTCACCTGGGAAAGTCAACAATACACAGGGACAGGTGTGCCTCAAGAGTTCACCGAAGCCCCTCCTTACTTTTCTGGGACTCTGAAGGCTAATTTGCGGGATGCGGTTTTCCCTCGCAAGACGCCTCAAATCCAAAATGTGGCTGATCCCTCACCCAGCTCACTCTCTGACACTCAATACTTACCCCAAGCCCTTGCTCACAGGGACACAAGGTATCTTGGGAAGGATTACAGCCACATAAAGCCAAAGTGCACTATCTAGGACGTGACTTCGCCCCCGAAGGCTAACTTTATCCACGGAATGAATTTATCCCATCGTTAATTTCACCTTTTACGCAAGACTAAAACGCAACTCCAGGGGTTTCTGGGCCTGTTATTGGTTGAATCGTGTCCACACCCCCTCCAAAAAAAGGTATGTTGAAATCCTATCCCCCAGTATCTCAGAATGTGACCTGATTTGGAAATAGGATGGTTGCAGATGGATCGAGCACCATCCCCTCCAAGACCCCTCCCAACTCACCACTTGATTGTCACAGCAAAACTCTCCCTATCCCTAGCATCTATGAGTCAGGATTTATGTGCTCCTTCCACAACTTCCCTAACGGCCCCTTCAGGGGACTCAGTCTCTGGAAACTTTTACGTGGTAAATGACACAGTGACAACCCTAATGGCAGGAACCACCTCCTCACTGAACTCACCCAGATTTTCCAGCTATCAAAATATTGCTGATCCCGAGTCAACTGGTGCCGCTCACAATTTCTCTTGGTATCGGTGGTATCACTCGTCTTGTGACTCATTTCATGGTCCCAGTCCCGTCCCTGCATCTTCTCCTTGGTTTTCCACCTTTTTTCTTAAAAATATTTTCTTTCTTTATTTAAGAGAGAGAGAGTGTGTGCGCAGCAGAGAGGGAGAGAGAGGGAGAAGCAGACTCCCCGCTGAGCAGGGAGCCCGATGTGGGGCTCGATCCCAGGACCCCGGGATCATGACCTGAGCCGAAGGCAGTCGCTCAACCAACTGAGCCACTCAAGTGCCCCTGGTTTTTCACCTTTAATCAACATTTTAAAAAACAACAACAACAAAACAACCCAACACAACAAACCCCACATTTATTTTCTGACCCCTCAAATAAACAAGACAATGATTTCCATGAGTCTTGGGATTGCCCCCAATGCTGTGTATTTTACGCATAAAGGTTTTGCAGATTGATATCTACCTACCAGAAACTGGACTGGCTTCTGTTATCTTGCCAATCCTGTAAGTCCTTTTCAGGGTTTTGAGTCCTCTTCATTCTTTTTTTTTTTTTTTTTTAGATTTTATTTATTTATTTGAGAGAGAGAGAATGAGAGAGAGCAAGCACATGAGAGGGGGGAGGGTCAGAGGGAGAAGCAGACTCCCTGCCGAGCAGGGAGCCTGATGCGGGACTGGATCCCGGGACTCCAGGATCATGACCTGAGCCGAAGGCAGTTGCTTAACCAACTGAGCCACCCAGGCGCCCCGAGTCCTCTTCATTCTATCAATGTCTAAACTTCACTTGTTCTTCTCTCAAAGCCCCACCCAATTCCCCACAAACATAAGAGATCTGCCACATCCTGTGAAGGCTGAAATTCACCACGCCTTCACGATCCAGTATGACCGTGACCCCTTCTTTCATTAGCATCCAAAGGAGGCTTGGAACAAGAAGTCAAATGCTTAGCAGTAAGCTCTGAGGATTTCATACGGCCTCCAACCAGGTTTGGGCAACTTTAGTACCAGGTTAGGGACTTCCAAGGGAAGGACTTGTATGCTCTCGTTGGAAGCTACTGCTGCACATTCATTTCTGGGGACTCCTCAGGCCTGATCATCATCGGTAAGAACATCAAGAGGCCACCGAGGAAATCCGCAGAATTGTGACCGCTGATCTGACTCCATCAATTAAGGATCTCTCTGTACCTCCTTCTGGGAACCCTTGCAATTGGCTGCCCTTGGGCCTCCAATCTTGGTGTTACTCCCTTATTCAACCATTAATAATTCTCTTTTTATTGCTCTTCCTAGGAATACCCATTTGTGAATGCCCAGTGACCAAAACCTAAATCCGTTCCAGATCCAACATTTTATGCAAGAAATGGTTCAACTGGCTTTGCACAAACAGCAGAGATGAAAGCCCAACCCTGACATCACCCCAGACACTAACTACTAGGAAAATCTCGTTTGAGAGCAAGCTCCCCAGAACCACCTATCATGAATCCCGATCATCTCCCCACTGTTGGAAAATTAAGACTGCTTAAGGAAAGTCTAGGTCTGTCTTAAACAAGAGGGGGAGTGAATATACTTTGTCGATATTAAAGTCCAGGCTCATTTTTCTCCTTGGGATTATTTTGTCCTTATTTATCAGACCCTTCTGTGGCTCTTTATACATGGAAGGCACTGGACAGCTATCTCACTCAGTCCTTAGAATGCCTGGATAAGGTAGGCAGTATTATGACCCCCATCATACAGATAAGGACACTGAGGCACAGAGGTTAAGCAAGTTTCCCAAGGTCACACAGCTAGAAAGTGGCAGGGGCTGGGGCACCGCCCCCCTCCCGCATTCTGGTTCCAGAGTTAGTTCTCAATGGTTATCACTGCCTCTCCAGCTTACGACCAGATGTCTTCTGGTGTCATAAAAGAGGGGGTCATAAAAGAGGGAAGTTCTCACATGATCTTCTGGGCCCTAGCTTTTAGGGAGTCAAGGTCTGTCTGAGAAATGGGTACGAATCTTGGAGCTAGATCTCCAAGGTTGTAGGGACACACACTCGGCGTAGTGACACAGGCTGACCGCCTGAGGGGGCGCCAGCCCGGCTCGCGGAGCCTGGGCAGCCAGAAGGGAACCTTGGAAACCAAAGTCAGGCTCAGACTCTTAGGACCACAGAACGTTGAGAACAGAGCATCTTAGAATGCTGAGAACAAAGCCTCTTAGAACGTCGAACAAAGGCTCCTGGAATCGTAGAACGGTGAACGCAATGCCCCACACGATCTGGGAGACAAAAGACGCTTAGATTCTGTTCTGGTCGAATCACAGAATCTTCCACCCAGGCTGGTCTTACAATTCCAGAATTTGGGATACAACCAATCTGACTCTTAGAAGCAAGACTGGCTACATAATTTGTGAAGCCGGGGGCAAAACGAAAATGCGAGACCCCTTGTTCAAAAATTAAGAATTTCCAAGACAAGAACAGCCAATATTAAACCAAGTGCAGGGCCCTCCTAAGCTGGTCACACGCCCGTGAAGCCGGTCCCGCTTAGAAGCATTATTTTATGGAAGGATGTCGGTCTTAGCTGGCCTCTAGTTTTACAGCTGAGTGTCTGGGAAGGCTTCGTGGAAGAGGAGGCAAAATCAGGGCTCGACTCGATAACCCTTTCCGCCCCCGGCACAGCCTCAGCCGCTCAGGGTTGCTAGGGGTGGGGGGAGAGGAACAGTTGCCAAACTGTCACGTGGACCCATTCTCTATTTATAGATCACCCTTCCCCTTTCGCCTGGGACAGTCCAATGGTAGCCAGAGCTCGCCCGCAAGTGGGCGGAACCAGCTGCGGACCGGGGAGGCACGGACCAATGACATTGGAGCAAGGGCGGACTTGTTTCATTGTGACGCGAGAGGGGGCGTGACTAGGGCCCAAAGGCAGGCAAGCGGTGGGGCGTGGCGAGGCCGCCCAGAAGCAAAGAGAGTAGGAAGCTGCGAGCATGCGTCGCGTTGGGGGGGCGCGGGTGCACCGCCGGGCATCTTCGTAAGGGAGGGTTCCAGCCAATAGGCGACGGTTGCTCTGTCGCCGGGGGCGTGGCCATGCAGATAAGGCGCGGGTGGGCGGCCCAATGGGCGGGCGCCTATGCAGATGAGACGGTGACAGCCGGGCCAGCGGGCGGGCGGGCAGGCGGGCTGTTGGGGCGGGGAGGTGGGACCCGGAGAGGGGTGGCCGTGGGGCCCGGCCGGGCTGGGGTGGGGGGCCGCAGCCATGATCCGGGCCTTCTCGTTCCCGGTGAGCCCCGAGCGGGGCCGGCTGCGGGGCTGGCTGGAGGGCAGCCTGGCCGGGCTCTGCGAGTTGCACTGGCTCCGGGAGAGACAGGAGTACCGCGTGCAGCAGGCGCTGCGGCTGGCCCAGCCCGGAATGGGGGGCGCCGAGGCCGAGGACGAGGAGGACGCCGATGAGGACGAAGATGCCGCGGCGGCGCGCCGGGCCGCAGCGGCCCTGGAGGAGCAGCTGGTGAGGGGCCGCCTGTCCGTCCATCCCTCCGCCCCCGTCTGTGTCTGTCTGTCTGTCTGTCTCGGTTGGATGCTCAGACACCCGTTCCGGTGGGGGAGGGGGAATGGACAGGGGGTGGGGCTGGAGACCCAGGAGTATGGGCGGCGGGCGGGATCTGGTCTGCTCACCCCCAAACTGGGGAAGGGGAACCGCATCGCTTCCGCTGGAGCCTCGTGAAATGCACAGGCCCCTTCCCCAAAGAAGATTCTTCTGGGCGCTAAGTATGTGTCAAGCCTGGGCCGAGTATTTGGCATGCGTTGTCTTCTTGCAGCTTGCGGGGAGAAGGGGGTGATAGTCCCCATTTTACAGAGCAAGAAGCTGAGGCTCAGAGATGGCAAGTGACTCACCCAAGGTCACACAGCCGGGATCCAAACATGCCACCACCCCCCACCCCCGGCCCCGCCACCAGGGCTCCATCTTCCCTAAGTCCCGGTGTGCTTGGAGATCTCTGGAGGGGGCGGGGTGGGGGGAGGGGATCCTCAGGCCTCCTGAGGGAGGGATCACTGCTGAGAGGAAGCTTGCAGTCCTTGAGGACCCCGCGGTGATCTTTACTCTGCCGTGACACTTTCCCTCCTTTCCTAGCTGGTCCCAGCCTTGGTGGACCCCAGAAGAGGCAGGTCGAGGCAGCATGGGGGTCTGCCTTCTGAACTCCCTGAGTGCTCTGATGGTAGAAAATGATGCAGAGGTCTCCAGAATGACTTCAAGAGCACCACCCCTCTCTCCTTCTCTGTCATTCTTTGATTCTCCTCTTCCTGGATTTCTCTCACTCTATCTCCCTATTGCCACATCTCTGACTTTCGGCGTCTGTTTCTGTCTTTCTTAATCCTCTCTCTCTCTGTGTCTCTCTATCTCCGTCTCCCTGGCCTTCTCTTGCCTTTCTGCACCTCTCTCTCTTCCCGCCCCACGTCCCTGTCCCTATCTCTCTTTTCCCCTCCCCCCAGCCTGCCAGGCCCCAGACCCTGGCTTCCCTTGCAGATCCCATCCCCAAGCCTGTGTGTGGTCAGAGCTTCCCGTTTGGGGAAACCTGAGCCATGGCGGCGGGGGAGGGGGCTCTCCCTGCTGCTGACCTCCACTGCCCCCTCCCCAGATGGGGAATGGGGAGGAGGACTGACGCCAGACTCCGGGGCTGCACGCACAGCCCCTCCCCCGACCGGGAGTGGGACCCTGCACATTCTTCTCTGGAAACAGAAACAGCTGTGGGAGGCCCCACCCCCTCCCAAAGTTAGAGACGCGTTGTGGGGGCCTTCACCAGCTCACCCCCCACCCCAAGCTGGCTGGGCTAGGGAAGGCACCTCCCACCCCACGTACGAGGAGAGGGAGAGAGCATGGGGATGGGCGAGCTGTGTCCTTCCTTCCTGTCCCTCAGTCCCTCTGTCTGCCTCAGTCTCCCCTCTCTGCCCTTCGGCTTCCCTATCCCTGCCGCTGAGTCTCCCCCCTTCTCTGCCCCTCTGTCTACCCCGCCCCCCAGGAGGTGGTAGTGGAGAGGCCTCATCCCCCCCACACTCTCCAGGCAAAGCTCCGTCCCAGCGTCAGGGAGGAGGCGGTGGCAGGCAGCGGGAGGAAGGCAGCGGCGCGGAGGGGAGGAACAGAGAAGCGCTAAATATAAACTCCTCTGCGGTTGGGGGTTCCTGGGTCCTTCTGAAGAGGATGTGGGTCCCTCCTCTGATCCCTGAGCCTCTGTCTTATGATGCTAACCCCTCCCGCCCCGCACCCCCCTACCAAGGAATACACTCCCTTTGGAGCCGGACTTGATTCGTTCCTAATAGGAGTAGTGGGGACGCAGGTAAAGACCAGGGACATCTCAGAGAAAAGAGGTGAGAATCCTGGATGGGGGTAGGAGTTCTGTTCTCTCCCACCAAGAAAAAGGGTCCCCTTCCAGCAAGAAGGACTTAAGTTAGACTTGCAAAAGGACTTCCAAATAGCGATAAAGGGAACTGGATACAGACTAGGGGCATGTGAGCAGCGGGGAACAAAGGTCTGGAAAAGTTTGGGCCAAGGGGTCTCCAGGGGTCTTAATCACACGCGTGTTAAACCTGCTTGAAAACAAACAAACAAACAAACAAACAAACAAAAACCCTGCTTGAACTGGACGGCCACAGACGGCCGGCAGAAGGGCTTGCAAAAAAAAGGGGGTGGGGGGGACTGAGGGGCATTGTGGGTACATAGGGAGCAGCATTCAGACCAAGGTCCTTCTGGTCTTTTTTTTTTAATAGAGATTTTATTTTATTTATTTATTTATTTATTTATTTATTTATTTATTTATTTGACAGAGAGAGAGAGAGGGAACACAAGCAGGGGGGTGGGAGAGGGAGAAGCAGGCTCCCCACTGAGCAAGGAGCCGGACCTGGGACCCGATGCAGGACCTGATGCGGGGCTCCATCCCAGGACCCAATACGGGATCATGACCTGAGTCGAAGGCAGATGCTTAATGACTGAGCCACCCAGGCACCCATCGCTTTGCTCCTGGAAGGGAGGGGGTCAAACTTACAAACAATGGGAGTGTGTAGACTTGGGGTGGTGTTGGAGGGCCCAGGCATGGGGGAAGAGGAGCCCTCGCCTCTCTGTCCCCCTAAGTCCTCCTCTTCCCTACAGAGCAAAAACTGAAATTAGGCCTGCAGAACCTACCCCCCGAATCCATCCTTTTATATTTATTTTTAATTACACAAGTAAAACATGACTTTATATTTTCCTTGTTAAGAAATTCATAGCTTTCGTGTAATAATAAAAGCTAGCAATTATTAAGAGCTTAAAGGGAACTGCTGTTTTTTTTTTTTTTTAAAGATTTTATTTATTTATTTGACAGAGAGAGAGATAGCGAGAGCAGGAACACAAGCAGGGGGAGCGGGAGAGGGAGAAG